CCTCCTCTTCTCTCCTAACGAAAATACTGAAGTAAAACTTTTCTTGGCTGTAGCCACTTGCTCTCTAGTAAGGGGACAGAATTTCATTATAGAAACATAACTGCTATAATAAGCATTATTTTAGATCTTTCTACAGAAGTAAGAAAAATGAACATCGAGACACTCTCCCCCTCAAGGGGTGGGGGGAAATCTGCTTGGAAAAAATAAACATCCTGGTATAATTGTCAAAATCATAGAGTAACTTGATTCACAGATAGCTTTTTTGAATAATCCACATTTAAGTCTGTTTGGACCTTGCCTACTAAGCTGAGTTTTTAAATGAGGATGAAACTAATAGTTCCAATGATTTTGTAACTGGATACTTTGGGGGGGTTTGATTTTTTAATTTTCATGCTCTACTCTACTTCCCACCTTCCCCCCCCCCCCATTGAGGCAACCGGCCTCCTACTAAGCGGTATGGGGGAGGAATAATGACAAAATGATCCTGGACAAAGTCTTTCCCAAAGTAACTCGTTCAGAAAGCTACAGACCATGAATGAGAGGTCTTTTATCTGATGCATTTTTAGTTTACTATCGTAGGTGCAGATTGTCTCCGTTAAGCATTTAGCAAATGAGTGCCCATACCTCTTAGTTACGACACTTTGGTTTGTGAGGTAAACATTTCTAGTAATTTATTTAAAATAAAAAGGATTTTAAGGTGGTGAATGATTGATAATGATATATACACTTGCCCTAGAAGGATAGGAAGAACATGCTTGTCCTAGCATGCTACATCTTTAAGCTCTCCATATAACAGCTTTCAAAAGTAGTAAAAAGAAATAAATGAGGGTATCACCTACTCAGCTATAAATCCTCCACATGCTTTGGGCTCCAGGAGACTCACCCCTCTGTAGTGCTGTGCTTAATGAATAACACCTAAAAATCTGCTCTAAGAACTACTTGTATGGCTTAATAATTATTGCTTAATTTCTGGCTGTACCTCAATAGATTTGCATTAGACTGTATGTGCCAACTAACCAAGACTTAGGCAAAGCATTAAAGTACTTCCTTCAAACATACTATGTAACGGGTTACATGTGACAAACTAATTTGGTTATCTTACGTTAGCAAGAACATTCACGCTATGTATATAACATCATCATTTTTTGGCAAGACAACATTTGATAGCCAATTTGATTATTTCTGTGCCCACTTACTGGGGCTAAAAGGCGACTGGCAAGACATCTGGGAGTACCAGAAGTGAAAGATCAGCATACACACTACTAGAGAATGATGCTGGGAGTGGAAAAAGAAGAAACGTCAGGAACTGCTTGGAGCAACGAGTACAGTAGTTGTTGCCCACACAGCTAAACTCTTCTCCCTGCTCCTCCAGAAGAGATTATTTTTGCATTTAACCTGCTTACTGAACATCATCCCTGTAACAAGCTATGCGTTGCATTGAGTCTGGAAATTGTTTGGGAGAACACTAAATAGCAAAATAATGCCAGAGAGCACACTAACAGTTAAACAGTACAGATATGACAAGGTAGCGTTCAAATCCTTGTAATGGCCTTGTTTAGTTTGCTAGCATAAACATGAGCATCATGAACAGATGCTCTACACTCATACTGCTCAAGCAGAAGGGCAAGAATGAAACAAAACCAAACAGACAGTTCCTAAGGTTTAGGCTCATTTCAAAGCAAGCTATGGAAATACAAATTTGGTTCATCTTAATTTATCCCAAATTTCTCTCCATATTAGGGCAATGATATGGTTTCAGCCTTGTATGAACTACTTCAGTTTTACAAAACAGCTCACTGAAATATCCACAAACTGTTTCCTAATTCTTACATGTTTAACTTGGATTTAAGTTTATAGTCCCTCTACCCAATCCACATAAAACAAGCAACTGATGCTAGAAGTGTTTGCTAGGACATACATACATGCACTGACAAACACCTTTTCATCACATTAGTAAAATTTTACCAAAGGACTTTTGCTCAAAACAATTATTATTATTAAAAATTACTATCAAAATAATAATTATAAGAAAAAAGCAATGTCCAAACTCAAATAGACTCAAGAAAGCAATATCCAAACTCTAAATAGACTCAAAAGAGAGAGAGAGAGAGAGACACTCTAAAAATATCCTGAAAGTGATTTCACTTGAAGAATACAATAACATGCCTTCCGAAACTATTTAAGTAAAGAATACCATCCCTTCCTCCTCCCTTCCAACAAAAATACTCTGAAAACTAGACTGACTTTTCAGAAAGTTGTTGCAGAACGCTGAGGAAACCAAGACGATCCATCTAAGACTGTTTCCAAGTGCCTGAAGCCATACGCTTGTAATTTACAACTTGGCACTGTCTGAAACTTATATCGGACATCATAAGTTTTACTGTGTAATCAGAACACATCCAAGACACAAAAACTTCCACTGAAAAATATACTTCAAAATAAGAGATGGAAACAGTTAATTTCATTGAAGGAGAAGTCTGTGCAACATAAGAATTTCTATGATGTTCACATTTTCTATTAAGCCCTCTTAGTGGTACTTATTAAGAGCAATACTAAACTTTAGATCACTAAAACTGCCTCACAGACATACACCCACAACATTGAAGAATTTTCCAACTTATGCGCAATGTGCTATGTTCTCCTTTGCATTTTTCCAAAATAAGACCATTGTACAGACTTTGCAACATCTGTGGAAATTTCTCAACTGATTTGTATATTAAAAAGAAATTTCTTGACGATAGTAAAACCAACAGTAGAATCAGTGTCATATTTTATAAGAGTTAATTCAATAAAAAGGATGTAGAGTATCAATTGTTTTGATAAACAATTACTCAATTTCACACACTGAAAATTACACTTGCAACCTTTAGTCTCTTCTATCCATGCCACACCAAGTTACCAATCGACATATATTGGTGTTTATCACCAAAGTCAACCTGCAAGATTCGGGCTGCAGCTTTTGAAGGGAATCAATTATTGCAAGTCCCAACAATGCACTAGCTATAATATCTTACCATAGGGCAGACTTAATTCATACAATATACTATACTTCTACCATTTTAACATAGAGGAAGGTGTTGAACTAATAAATTGTACAACTGTAACACCCAGATTCTCAGCCTTCAGAGAGCATATTGGTTTCAAACTCTATATTTATATTTTGAAAGATAACGTTTAACTTCAGCAAAATATTGATAAAACACAGCTTCTCATGAAAAGTAACTGTACAAAGTAATTTGCGATAATCTAGAATTAAGAACAGTTTGTGGCATCAAAAAAACTTTCCTCAACTCCTGCATCTGAGTAATTCAAAGAGAATAAGTTTGATTCTTAGTTTTCTCTAAAAAGAGTCTTGAAATTTGTCTGGAACGACTACAATATTATCGAAATAAGTATTCCTCCTTTCATAAGGCTTCTGCTAGTTCCACATGAATTTGATGCCTGACTCCATGACACAAATTGACACTGGCTGCGCCAAAAAATCCCCTGTCATTTTCATTGTTGTTTGTGCAGTAAAGATCAGGGAAGCTAAGAAAAGATTTCTAAGGTATGGCTATACAACCGCTCGATTTAGGTAAAGAAATCAGTTACTTCCACATGAAAAGCTGGTAAAACACATTAGAGTCCTATGCAAATGTTATAATATGTCGAAACTAACTTTTTTGCATATAATTACAATATTTAGAATAAAATCATTTCTTCATAATCTAACAAAAAGTCAAAATACTTTTTAATAAAGGTCAAACCTTCTAGATAATGCCACGGGAAAAGAATGCCCAGGATCTCACATTTCACACGGCTTGCTAAGTTGGATAGGACCTATAGAGACCAGCTACGTGCACGGTCCTGGGACAGCGACACCTATGTCGATCCTAATGGACGCACGTTCAACCTGTTCTTAAAAGACATCAATGACAGAGATCCACAGTATCTCTAGGCAGCCTGCTGCAGGGCCTCACTTAGCACTATCATTCAGGTCTTCCCTCATTCCCCTTGTCCAACCTGAATTTTCCTTACTGCAATTATTTGTTATCCTATTTTCCGTGCGTAGGCAGAATAGATTGCAGGTTTCTTTTCTGCAAGAGCATTTCACACTTTTTAAAAATATACTCTCCTCAGTCTTCTCTAGACTAAACAATTCCCATTCTTTCAGTTTGGGCTTGAGGGTCAAGCTTATTGTCATATTCTCTACTTTGGACACCCTCCAATTGCTCAATACCTTTGCTGAAGTACTGTACCTAAAACTGAACGTGCGTCTCTTGCAGGCTATCTTCCTGCTTCCACATGCTAGTCTAGCTATGCCCTTTTCATACCAGCAAGAAATTGTTGGCTCACATTTGTTTGGCTATTATTCCTGCCTAAACGTGCACTGTGAACTGGCACTTCTTCCAACTGAATTACACAGTACCCCGACGCACAACTTCTGCCACTGTCATGACTGATTTAAACTCCAATTGCATTTCACCCTGTGCTTGACCCGTTCTCACACTTTTGTCATTGGTAAACGCAAAGGTAATAGCTTATCCTAATATTTAGTATAAAAATTGTAATAGTCATATTGGGTAATCTCGATACACCTATTCTGATGTTAACTTGTGGTCACTAACACCAGCATGGTTTTCAAATCAACTTTCCACAGATCTTGTCAAAGTTTTATTCAGACCCCACTTCTCTAGTAGACTGTCAGGAAAAGCGACATCAAAAGCTAGACGGTATCTATAGGTGTTCTCTTAACCATAAGGCTTATAGGGAAAAATCTGATGGCTTTGACCCAACATATTCCATAATTCCAAGGTAATCATTACTCATCTCATTTCTTCTAGGCACTCACAAAATTTGTTCCACTATTTTTCTGGGAAACCAAGCTGAACCAAACGGCAGCGATTTCCTAGATTCTCCCCTTTGCTTCTTAATTCTTGCTCTGTCATTTATTCACTACTATCATCAGCATTCTAGAAAAAAGTAATAGAAATACAGAAGAGGGTTTATAAGACACTTACAGGTTTCCTAAGGAAAAAAAGGGATAGTGCTCCAATTAGGGGCATGTCTCCAATCAGTGGTTCCAGGATAACCCTCATAGTACCGTGGATCTGGGCAGGGAAAGAAAACAACGGAACTGATTTTAAAACTCAAATTATGTAAAATCTATTCACTCACACTTCTAATTCATGAAGGCCTTGATTATGGATGAATGTCATGTAAATACATAGAACTTTATGCATTATCCAATCCAAAAAGTTTAATACAGGCTTTCAAATCCCTGTACATAGTAACTTAATCAAAAGTGTGTTGTGTGACACTAGTTGCAATTGTGCTAGAAGAAAGAAATAGGTTATCATCCTATTATTCCGTGGTTAACATCCATATAGTTCAACTTAAACACATGTGAGAAGTGAAATTGCAAGGCACAAACCAATACAATGGCATCCATAGGTATCAGAACAAAAGTAGGTAAACACTTACAAATATGTCAAGACAAAAAAAAAAAATCATATTTTCTCATTATAGAAAGATCTGTTACCAGAAAGGCAAGAAACCTGAGGAACAATATCAGAAGGCAGGGTTATCAATAACTAAAACTAATAACAATCTGTCACTCAGTAGATAAAACAGAAATGTAAGCTCTTTGACAGCCTTTATTAACCTACGCATCACATTAGCATCAAGGTAATCCAAGAAGTATTCAATACTTGAAATTATCTCTACCTTTTCCAGTAGAGAATGGTATAGATTTAAATCATTTCTACATCTGAAAGGCTAAATTGGTAAGTCACGTCACTAAATTATTATGCATGGTCAGTGAGCACACAAGTAATAGATCACAATAAGCAATGAAACAGAAGAATTACTGGTTCTTTCTGGCAACCTGTAAACTATTTCATCAGAAAAATGTGAAAATTACTGTATTTCAAAATCAAAAGGAAAAACTGAACTTCACCTGTATACTTTTCACACCAGCTCTGCAGAAGTATCTCTTGATCTCCAAGTCAATTTCACAATTGCCAACAAAACTAAGATAGGAAAAAAAAAGCTATAGATTTCATTTTTATAGACTAAATTGCAATACACTTATATATTTTGTATATCAGTCTACAAATGAAGAAATGAATGTTAAAACATTAAAACTTAAACTCAGATTGTGTTAAAAAGAAGTACCCCCACCCCAAAACATCATTATCACAAAAACTTAGAAATTAAGACTGAGAGGTATGTTGTCATCTTTAGAAACGTATGTAAGAGAACATATATTTATTCTTACTTTTGGGATATAAAGGACAATATACAACACATACTTCATTTCAGCAAAGCCGTTCTATAAGTCTCATCAACAGTATGTGCATCTAAACCCATTTTCATTTAATGCAACTGTAAGAACTAGATAGAGATGGCTATTTTGCTAATAAGGTTTGCTGAATTACTCACTCACACTTGCAAAAACAGCCACTTAAGCTGAAATTCAGCATGCTGGGCATGCAGGGCTGGATAAACCACTAAGCAAGGGATAAGGCAAAACAATTAAGCCCATTCTGGAAGGCGAAGGAAAGCAGGAAGCAAATTAGGAAGTAATGTATTAAAAACAACGGAAAGTTTTTCTCTGAGCAGTTCTTGAATCCCATTTTTGGGACAACCCCTTGCCTGGGTCAAGGCCCTCAAATTTTGTAGATGCTAGTCCGTGTATAAGATACCATCTTTTACTATCTCCTACAAATCAACCCAATTTGCCCATTCTATAGTCCTGCGAATGTAGTTGCACATAACTCAGATTCACATTTTAAGATCTTATATTTCCTGAAGACAGCTAAAATAATCTTTTCCTAGAATTGCAGTTGCTGTGAGCCACACTGTATCTGAAAAGAAACTAATTCTGAAAACTGACAAGGAACTTAGGAAGAAACCTTGGGACTTAGCAAAGGATTTAGCAAAGGAACTAGTATTGCCAATGTTTCTACAGAACAGGAGAGGAAAAAAAAAAAAAAAACCCTACCATATTGAATACTAAGCTACAGCTGGGGAACGACCAGCTGAACAAGGAAACTAGCTAAAACGATACGAGATGCAAGGAAAGGATAAAGGAAATCTAAAGGGCTTTCTGAATAAAACTGACTGCCTAGGTAAAGAAAATTGAAGAGGAGGAACTGAGTAGGGAGAAGTGATAAAGCAGCTTAAACAAGGTCAGGCCCTCCTGAGGAGGAAAAAAGACTTCCTTCCTCCACGGGGCTCCAGATCCTGCAGTAGAACCAAGGCTTCCTCAAGTTTAACTTCTTTCTGCTGTTAGGACAACTGCAAAATTTCCTATTCTCTTTAAGGGTTGATCCAAACAGAGGACAATCACCTAGCACTGCTGTTAGTTACTCAGTTAGCTCAAGCAGGAGCGATGGATGGATGGTTTTATCAGCTATCTCCTCAGAACACATGTAGATATCATTACTATTCTTCCAACTTACACTCTGAAGCCCAAATAGCTACCAATCAAAATATTAAAAGCATTTACAGTCTCAAAATCAATTACTTAATAAATGCTGGAGCTGACGCATTTCAATCCTGTAATTCAAATTGCTTAAACACATGCATTAATTTTACAATATAATCTATTTTTTTATATTTGTACATATTAAGCATTTTCTTTGATACTGGGACCTCCTTATATGCTAAACAGTTCTGCTGAATTACAATTTCAAGTTTGAAATTTTTTCCTTTCTACGGTGCAATGCAACGTCAAGGCTTAGGAAGACGGGGTTACAAATATAGGGTTGTCAATTAAAGTATTCTAGCTGTAGAAATGTATTAATTCGGAATCCTCCAGAAGTTTGTTATTTTCCAGGAGACCTACTTTATACAATAAAAAAAGCTATTTCGTGATGTTTAGGAGTCTGACGGAATCTTACTACAGAAACGTCTAGGAAGTTTTTAATGAATGTTCTCAATGAGCCACTTTCAAGATAAACTCAGGATAAAATAAACTACTCTCACGGTATGATAAGGATGGCAGCCTGATCCCCCAACTGATGGCCCTAAGGTACTATCAGAAGAAAAAGAAATTGAGGGAACCACGCTGTATTCAGGATATTTGTTATCTCCTGTGATGTGTACGTGATGGTACTGTCAAGGTGATCTCGAGCAAACAGAAAGCATACCATTCGCTTAAATGGAAATAGACAACAGTACTGACAGATGGTCTTACAGCATCCAACATTGGAATTAATTTCAGGCTATACAAGAGGTAACAGTGCGCACAGTCACTTTGCTGCACCAACCAGTTTGGGGAGAAGGAAGATGACAACACAAAACGACCCTATATGAAAGAAAGGTGATCAGTGCTTTCCTCTGGAAAGAATGCAGTGTGACTGTAAAGTTTAAAAAAAAATACATAATTTAAAATTATATATTTTTAAGAGTTTATAATTTATATATATACACGCACATATTTTTTCATACATACACATATATGTATATATAATAACATGATGCAAAGAAGATCAATTCAAACCTGCAATGGAAACCTCACTCTTGGCACTTTGTAGCATCAGAACTATTTAGGTTACGAAGACTGTGAAGCAGTAGGTTCATTTGATAATCTAATAACACGATTACAAATTGAAGTAAAAATTGTACTTGAGGATATCAAGTCAATGAGTTGCAACCTTACTATAAGGTTAAAGAAAACTTCATCCTCTAAGATATTTTGCTGGGTCCATTAACATGCAGTACAGAATTGGCCTCTAGCATAACACAAAACTTTTAGACTGCATTCTACTCCAGTTGCTATCACTTCTCTAAGTAGATTGCAATGTAATGCAATGAGACACATGGCTGAAGATTTCATTCAAGTCTAGGCAACAGGATATTATTCCTGGAATTCTTGTACAAACCTATCGTCCTTGTAACATTTATCTGCAGCACCCTATGAAGATAATCAGGGAAAAAAAACAAAACAAAACCCCACCCCACAAGATTACTCCCATAGCAGATAAGAGTAAATCTGCTTTAGAGGCAAGGAGTGATCTTGGGGAGACTGGTGCAAGAACATTTCAAATGACTCACCATCTACTCTTCTACTTTGGTCCCTCAAATATCTCAAGAATGGCTCCCCCAAAGCAACTTCTTTGCACTATGTCCACAGTGGCCAGATAATTCTGTTTTCCTGAAGGGCTCAAGCCCGAAGAGGTGAGGTAGGAATAGCTGCTATCAAAAGCGGAGGCAAGATGATCACTGAAGGCAATTTCTCCTTTAAGGCTGACAGCATACTTCCAGTGAAACAAGCTCTCAAGGGACAACCCTGCCTCCGCTGTATTTTCTCCAGCAACACCAGTCCCTGATCTGGCTAGCTCTCTTTTTCCCACAGAAGTGAAGTGATTCAGTTCAATACAGATCGGGCCCGGCTCACAGAGGCAGCCAACCCCCCGCTGTGAAACGCAGAAGGTGTGCAGCAGAAGACACAGTTCTTTTAATATGCTGGGGCCAAGCTCTGACAAGCCTACAGTTTTCAGCAAAGCCAAGACTTAGATAAATTATTCAAAATTAATAATAACCAAGCTCAAAGTTCGGAATTGTCCCTGGAAAATAGGAGCTGAGAGACCTCAGCCTCTCTTGGCTACTGCAGGGAAGCAACAAGAAATGCAGAAGGCTGCTCTTTGTTGGATCATCAGTGACTGACAAATCTGGCCTCTCCATAAGCTACAGAGAGGCAGATATGTAACACATTTTTGACTGTTAAATATAAAAGTGTTGCTGCATTCACTGATTGTGCTTTCAAAAAGGCTCTGTGACTGCAGATAGTGCTGAGAAAAGATTTTGGCAAACACTGGGTATATCTATTTACAAACCTAAATAAAAGGGGTCATGATGAAAGGGCAAATAAACCTGAAGTAGCTAACCATAATTGCTCTGGCATTATATAATATGCAGATTTACTTCAGTTGGTGCTACGAGCACAAGTACTTCAGCAGGTATCATTCGCTTTTTCCAATACTAGCTCTTTAAAGAGTCTAAGTAACCGAGAAAAGACAAGAAACCCAAACACCTTAAGTTTTGACTTGGACTAAATTTTTTAGCCAAGTTTTAATGCATGAGAAACAAGAATTTTCAAAGACAGTGCATTAACTTTGGAAAGTATTTTTTTTTAATTAAACTTTAATTAAACTTTATTACTTTAATGATGCAGTCACACAGTCAGCTGATATACCCTTTCCTTCAGATAAGTGCTACTTACAGCATGCAGTTCCTTCCTCCATTCTCATATAACCAGAAGTAGCTTCATTTGCTTAAGGAAGTGATTCTTCAGAATGAAACTGTTAACCTTCTCCCTCTACCCTAAGACATCTGCTGAATCAAACAAACAAGGCACGCATTCTAAAACCTGGGCACGGTTGTAATACGATAATAAAAATTACCTGATCTGAAGATCCAAAATGATCTGCCTTTTGTCCACGTTTTCAGTGTACACTTTTACACCATTTATCCTCAGAGGCTGAAACAATGAAACAAGTAAAGGTTGGATCCTTCTACTCAAATATATCACATTAAACATTTAACTTAGGGATAAAGGTGAATATACTCATATTCATGTCTGAAGTGAGACATTTACTACATGCATTATTTAAAAGTGTGAAGCAAAGCTCTTAGTCTAGATCAAACAATTATTTTAAGGGTATTAACTTGCTACAATCCACTCAATCACAATGCCTTGAGTGGAATTCTGTCATAATGGGTGGAAAACAATCCCCAGAATTCATAGAAAAGTTAATGTAAAGTATTTTGCTCCATTTTTCTTTGCTTTACGAATCATATGAAAGCAAAACATACCAAAGCTTCCACAACTTAAGCATGCACTAAATACTACGTGGGAGAGGACTACCAACTACCTTCAGGTAGCACCACTTCCTGTCACATGTTGAGTTTTTCTTCCTGGAGATCTCTGATCTAAGAATTGACCATATTTCTGCTTCAATCTATTTTCTAATTTAAATAATATGGAACTCTCACTGATGTCAGGTTCTCACTCTGTTTGGGACTGTACAATTCACAAGATGCAATTCAATGAAGGTTGCGATATCAAGTGAGGAGAGCTGTTTCTTGTGTCCAAGATAACTCAGTCTAGCTGCAGCAGCACAGAGAGATATGAAAGCTAATTTAAATCTTAGTTAAAGTTAGTATGGCTTAAAGCTATGCTACATCGTAATCTGTAATACAGATGCATCTATGGCAGGACAGAACCATGTGGAATTTACAACCTAAATAGAAAAAAAAAAGCACAAAAGGTCCAGAATATACCTTTAATTGTATTTTACATGGAATAGAGTCACAAGGAGAGAAAAATAATTCCCCTCCATCACACTTGAAGCTTAGCTTCAGTTTTCCTGACATTCAGAGAAGAAAAAAAAAGAAATATAAAGTTTGAAACCCTTACTTAAAATCCCATTTATGAAAAGTAAGAGGAACACAAAATAGGACTGCACAAGAAGGTGGGTAAGCTACATTTCAGCAGAAGTAAACCTCTGGTTGATGCAGGTACTGATAAGCAGTGCCCAGCTTATTGCAACCTTAAATGCTAACTTCTTGTTGGCTTGGACTGGTTAGACTCTTCTGTAAGCATGTAAGAGCTATACACCATGACCTCTTCTTTCATGGGACCAAACAGCAGATAAGTATTTATCTGTTCCTTGATACTATTTTAATGTTACGACAGAAATCAGAATGAGCCTCACCATCAAGTGTCACTGACAAACACTTTCTGGGTAGATTTAAACAAACTACATGAAAACGGCATGCAGGATATGGCCTCTTAGAAAAACTTCACAAGAAACTGACCTGATGACCAATATCAATCTTTGTAAAACTGAAGGTACTAAGGTGGTTGTTTGCGCCTCTTACTGCTGGTTCTATTGTCTCCCGAAAGAGTTTCTCAATGAATTGGCAAATAAAAGGCCACATCTGTTTGACAGTCTAAGAAAAACAGAAAGAAAAAAGAGCCACTGAACACATCTTCACACACAATTAAAAATATTTTTAAGGAAGATATAACAAGTTTAGTAGAAAGCTTTATGCATACAAGTTTTCTGTACAGTTCATTACAAGATGTAAGAAGGAGCCACTTTTTACCTACTGCCATACAAAAGCGCTTTCTGGACCCTTCATCTCAGTTATTTGATTTACTATATTTTCAAACATTTCACAAATTTGAAGTACTGGAAGAGGAGAAACAAAACAACACTCAATTTTCTTCTCTTATCACATGAATATATATGCAGTCTGCATTGATGCTCACTGCTGCTTAGAAGGGTGAAGAAGGATAAGCTTATTTTCATGTGAAAGTAAGAAAAAAAGGAGTTAAGTGCATTTTAAAAAACATGCACACGGTTTATAAATGCCAAAATAATGCGGTTTTGCTATCATATCTGAAACTCGACACTGCTAATTTGTCTTGCTGTCTTCTAATTGACTAATGTTCTGCTATGCTCTTTGCGTGAAACATTAAGAAAACCCAAGCTACATAGATCTGTATCTTATATTATTAAACATACAAATCAAAACCTGCAAATTTGATTTATTTTTAGATTGTAGGTCAGGAAGCCACAGCAACTGGAAAGTGTCCCAGACAAGTAGAACATAAAAACTGTGTTTACAGCTACTATGACTTCCACACAGTCACAGCTGTCATTATGTTAATGTCACCTGAGGTCACTCACCAAAAGTCACAGATAATTTCAAGACCTTAAAAACAGAATCAGGATAGATTAAATCTTTTCCGTGTCTGACTGGATCAAATACCAGAAACTTTAAGTGCATAAAGAGTACTGAAAATTAGAACTATTGTATTCCGAAATTCTTGCCCTCCGCTCATTCTTCTTATTCTCAGACTCCCCCCTCCTCCGCTCCTGTTTTTTGAAGGCAATGTTAACAACTACCCTTACCTTATTGAGCCATTCTGCCCTCTCAGTATCTGGAAAATGGACCTAAAACAAATAAACAAAAAGTTACCACAAATACATAACACTTCAGTTAATCATGTCAAGTCACACAGCAGTGCCTACTTGTTATCGATATTATGTGTATACCAAAAGGTCAACAGTTAGTTAAACTCACACTTTTTCAACTGCATCTTCAACAACTTTAATGTGAAGGCAAGTCCCCTTCCTGATTTCTTTCACTTTAGTTTTTATTAAATTCTCACGCTATAAACAGCACTTCCATATTCTTGAGTATAGTCAGTTGCCTTGAGAGCAGTCATTAATTGTATCTACCAATGCGTATGTTCGCTAGGCTGGAAGGTCAGCCGCTAGGTTGTGGTTGGTACTGCCAGTGTTTCTCCAAAGTCCATTTCTTTCTCTTTCAATATGCTCAGCTCCAGAACTAGAGGTGAGCCTGTATGGTTCGGACAGATTCTCAAAGAACTACAAATACTACTGCCTTCCACTGTCAAAGTTTTGGGACCCTCTTCTCCAAAAATCTCTGGATTTTTTTTTTGAAAGTACATCACAAACCTATCATAACCACCAGAGGTGATATAAGAATAACCAACATCATCTGCTTCCAACTGTAGAACGTACATAGAATCTCAAACAAAGCATTCACTGGAGCTTATTTTTCTGGGTAATTTTATCACTTAAATGAGTTCAAGAAATATAATTATTAATAATGAATTGAGTGGTTTTGGAATATATTATTATATTTTATCTGGAATTAATGTCCTAGAAATTAGCATGGGTAAAATATCAAGTCAATATTTAGAATTTTTTTTACAAAAAAAAAAAAGGGGGAGGGAGAGTGATTTTTTTTTTTTGCATTGGCAGCAACACAGCCAGCTGCATTTATATGAAAACATAGCTAAACAGAGCTTACACTCCATTTTTGGCTTGCTAGGTTCTCAAATTGCTTCAGGTGGTAAAAAAAATGATGGAACAAAAAGAACCAACATTTTGATGTTTTCTTAAAATATTTGCCTTCTGAATCTGCAGACCAAAAATGAGTCAGCTCTCATTAATCACTCATCTGAGGCATGATGTCAGACCTTTATACCCCAACTTGAATAATTTATTCTGACTTGTTTAGAAGAGAGATCAATGATGTCTGCAAAATGGGAATTCGGAGCTCTTCCACGTAAGGGAAAATGGGAACAGCAGCAGTAACAGTGAACGGCATAAAAATAAATAAATAAAAACAGATGGGGAAAGGAAAATAAAACTGGCAGGAAAGCAAACCTGCTCACCGTAAGTACTGCAGGATACAACAGAGTTACCAGACTAAAATACTCAGTAAAGTTCACCTTTTTTCTTTACTCTTTTGTACAAGCATCTAGTTGACATCAGCAGGAGACCTACTGTAGACTGAGGACAGTTTCCAGTTCTAAACATAACCTCAGTCCACAGGGAACTCATCATGCTCCATAGAGCGATCCGAATTCCCTGACGTAGAATATAATCTCCTTGAGGCATAGGCGACCTCACCTGCACTAAGCGCATAGCTGACATTCAATCCCTCTGAATGCATTAATATACATACCATCTCTCTCTTGCACCCATCAAGTACTCCTCACGTTCAGCCCTGAATTATGCAAAATAACTAGAGATAGATTGGGAAAGAACTAAGAGGCAGAAATATCTAACCACATACACTAACTTATTGATTTTGAATTTCCTCTACCTATAAAGTGTTAGGTCTTGCTTAACAGCACATTCTTCTTTATTTTTCACAGATTACTATTTACTTTGCCTTTAGTGTGCCACAAGTATTGTGCTCCTGCTATTTGGATTAGTGCTAAGCCAACTCCTTAATTATATAAACTAGTTTACTTCTGCAGTTGCACACGTTACTAGGTAACAAATAACGTAACAAATTACATCTTCCATTCCTGTTTCTTATCCCTCTTCCATCCTTACTTAATTCTGTTTATTAACTTAATGTTTTTTAGCCTGCTGTATTACAACGCAGTATTAATAGCAACATTATATTTTGCTGTAAGAGTTTATGATATCAAATACACAATCTTACTCAAAGACAACCGTTTGGGGAAAGTTTGAGGGAGGAAAGTACTTAACTTTGGACATTCTGGATCAATCAGGACTAACACAACAGCATTCAGACAATTGCACTGATATTTTACAGCCCCAAACAGAAGCAGGAATCAGACTAACTGATGGGCAAAATCTGTTAACTCTCGTGTAAAACCTATTAGGCAAGTATGGTGGAAGGAAAGGGAATCAAGATTTCAGCAGAGGAAATGTTTTCTGCTTTGCTTCTGTTATTAAATTGCTCCTGATAAGTTTGATAAGTACTGCCTCATTTCCACCACTTGGAGTAGTAATTTATTATTCAAAGGAAAGTATAATTAGAGAGAACTGTTGCAAGAAATACCCTAATGACAATGTTCGATACCAAAAACATTATAATACTACATGTTCCAAGAATGTTTTAATTTCATATTAAAAGCTATACTGCAAAATACTGAGAAGAGCTCAAAAGATGCATTTCTGCACTTTAAAAATATATGACTTAGCTTTTTCAGACAGCTACTTGTGCTCACCTCTGAGCAACTCTCATGTTTACTTCCCGTTTCTGATGGGCTCAGTATAAAAAACTCGATTCAGAACACACCATTTTTTGTAATTATCAATAAAATACCAGAAAGAACCCAAGGAATACAGTTCCTTGTTCTATCCTGGAATAGAACAAAAAAACTCCAAACTACTAGCAAGTTATTTCCATAACGCTGATACACAATTACTTTATGGTTCAGATTCTGTACATACGCTCTTCCAAATGACCAAATTAACACAGTTATCTGCACAGGTGATCATCTGCATCTTAAGGAAACAGGGCGGGCCGTTCTAATATGACAAAGAATAATAATCATTACAATAAAACTGCACAGACTAAGCATTTCATGGTGGGTAATTCTGAAAAGTAAAGGGGTAATCAGTATATGCTACCAAGTGACTCTCAAAGGACAAATAATAATGTTGCTGCCTTAAATATAATTATTAGTTCTATATAATAGAAGCTTCACATATCTACATGCTACTAAAAGAAAGCATGGACAAGAAAGTTAGAAGCAGTGAAATTACAGCACTCTTCTGGAAATAATTGTAAATTGCTCAGCACAAGGCACAGAACTTAATAATCTACTTCAAAATAAAAACTGCACAGTAGTTACCATTTGCTGGTCCCCTCACTGTAAAAGACTTCTCTTAAATGACTATCCTTGCAGTTAGCCTTCCCCACTCTTCAAGCTATCAGCCAATCTTTATGCTGCATGTAACTTCTCCTATTTAATTATTATGTACTGAACTACATTTGTAATCATAAGTCTTGCATATTATTTTGGTGAGGTGGGACAACAAAAGTGACATCTATATTGAAAATATAAAACCACTGCTATTGACACGAGTATTCCATAAGGTGAAAATTTCTTTGCTACAAACCAGTCACTCTTCTGAACTGCTTATTATAGCAAAGTAAAAAAAGGAAGCACCAAAAGCAATTCAGAAAATAAAAAATATTCAAGTGCCATTTAGAATTCTACATTTAAATGTTTTTATTTTTAACCAAATCCTTTAAAGGACAGGCTCAAGTGAGCCAATCTCTGAAATGCTACACTCCAGCAGAGCCAGGAAATGTTTTCTCCATAGAGTTCTCACAATTTTGCAAAACTAAAAGGCATTTAAGGATGAAAGCTGCATACTACTGACGCGTGGGTTTTTTTCCTTCCTTCTATTCCCCCCAAGGAATAAACCCAATAACTCCATTTTTGACTACATTAACGATAATGTAGTATGTTAGTTATATTTAAAAGAGTCTCAGTCAGCATTACTTAGCTTATGGAAGCGCTTAAGTCTGGTTCCTTCCACTTGCACTGCTTCATTTCTTGTTGCTCCAGATGAAAATCTAGATCAGTCAACTGTAGTTTAATTACCATACGATCACACAGTATAACCGACTGTCAAAAACCAAGTATTCTTTAGCAGTTTTTCAGTTGTTTCACAAACGTTTCTCCCCGTATTAGGCATCTATCCCCTCTGCTTTCTTTGCAAAACTAAAATGACAGTCCCTCTGTATCAAAAGTACATCTGTGTAGGTTAAAAGGGTATCTGGATTGGTCTTCATAGTCTCCTTATCCATCATCAGTGGAGAAGGACATCCTACACAGAAAAATTCAGAGCAGCAGCTGAGTGTTGTAAATCGCCTTCTGAAAGCAACACGCACTCTGCATTGACTATAGCATCAGCAGCTACTTAAACTTCTGAACAAACGCATGAGCCTAAAGCTGGATGGTGTGGAAAAAAACTCACCTTAAAATCAAGTGATCCTTGGAATTAGAACTGCCAGATTAATTTGTCTAAACTCACAGCACTTTCAACTCAAAATAGCTAGAGAAATCTGGGCAAAGAATTAAGAGAAGGAATCCCAACATAAACAACATTAGGAGTGTGAAAACAGTGGTATTTAAGCTCAATTTAACAGCTATTTACTTTAGTGTTTTCCAGTCAGCGAGGCAGGAAGGCCTAAGGACATTTTAGGCGAGATAAAGCAGAACAGAGCTAACGGCTTAATCCTTATTACAGTCAGCAATTTCCTCTCTCTTAGAGAAGCAAGGAGCAGCAATGGGCAAAGTATTTCTTCCTTTCCACAGAGGAATCAACTCCGAGTCTTCTGCTGCTCGACACAACCCAAACAAACTATATCCTCAAATACAGCTTAGGGATGACTGTTCTTTTCTAATGAGAAGTGAAGAAGGGGAAGCTGGGAGGAAAAGTGGAGCAGCCAGGCCAGACTGTCCCATGTTATTCCAGCAGTCTGCCTCCTCGTTCTCTCCCCAAAATCCACCTCCAGCATTATTCTAGCTATTTTTTCTCCTACCCTCTTTACCTCCAGTTACACTGCAGTTCCCTCACCTTTCTGAATTACAAGGAAAAAGTACACTAAATATTTACTGTTGCAAAACTGCAAGATTCAGTAT